TGATCGTTCCCTTCCCCCCCCCCCTTTTGCGATGTTCTTGGGGCTCAACGACCCCGCGGCCCGGTCCTCGACCAGGCCTCCTATTATATTATACACATATTATGCAACTTTCACACCGGAAAGTTGTATAATATTTAATATTTTTAATTATTAATTAATTAATATTTAATTAATTAATATAATTAATTAATTATAATTATATTTATAATTAATTATTATTTTAATTATCCACGACAACCCAACAATTCGTGCACGTCATTAGTGTGGCCAACGAGCCACAACGTAGGTTGTTAATGTAGTTAAGATTATACGCTACATCAATTTAAACAGATGTTAATATCTGTGTGTTTGTGTGTTAGCTGTATGTACGCCCGGATATCTTTGAACGCAATTTTTTTGCGTTTAAAGATATCTATTAAATTTTTTTTAGTAGATATCTTTTTATTCAACTAAAATTTTTTGGCATGGCTTTCTCATTTTACCCAGGGAACTTCATAGGTTACATTGGACTCCAGCTCTTGGGCCCTATCTTTAGGGATCATTTTTTTTGTCCATAACAATGGAAGGGAAGGGAAATATCGGGGAAAATCGACAAGCCATTAAAACTATATAGCAATTGGACCATATCATGATATGGTTTTGGGATGGGAAGGGACGGGGGGGGGGAGGAGGAATGGTGCCCAACCACTTGGACGGTCGGGGATTGAACGCTGACCTGCATGAAGCGAGACCGCTACTCTACCGTCCAGCCCAAGTGGTTGGACACCATTCCGTTCCTCCAGTCCCATCCCAAATCTTTATCCTGATCCCTTCCAAGTATTATATAGTTTTAATGGCTTGGCGCTTTCTCCTTTCGCCTGAAAAAAACTGAAAAAAAACTTCGAACACTACCATAACAATGGAAACGTTCGAAGCTTTTTATTAGTGTGTTCCATGACACAATCATAACTCGGTTTTTATTGCAGCAAACAGATTCGAAAACCAGTTTTCAAACCCTTAGGAAGATCAGAAAAGCCGGCCATATATGTGAGGACGTACACGGTTCCTGGTGCCAGATTCACGAAGCAGTTACTCAAGTACTTACGAACGTGTACATCTTTCCTCAATCTTTGACGACTTTGGTTACATTTATTAAACAGTTTAAAAGCAAACAAACTTGCCAATCAACCGTTGGTATTGTTATAAACAGCCTCCTGGTGCTTCGCAGCTCATTAACTGTTTAATAACTGTAAACAAAGTCGCCAAAGATACAGAAAATCAGTATAGGTTCGTAAGTGCTTGCGTAACTGCTTCGTGAATCAGGCCCCTGGAGGAATGAATACACCGATTGGTGTATTTCGCTTGTCAATGTATACACCTTACTGAGTTTGTCTTACTGAAATATGCTCAGGGCTAAAGTATACTTGATGGTTAGTCAGTAAACTATTGTGTTTACCAATTAGTGACCACGGGGACGTGAGGTTAAGCTCGTTGTGTCCCGCCTACAATCCTTCTTGTACTAGATTGTTTCAAATCGAACGATTCAGACGTTCGAATTCTTGGTCGAGTCTGGCCAAAAGGTTGTAAATAGAGGTTATCTTATCTTGAGGTTATCTTGAGATGATTTCGGGGCTTTAGTGTCCCTGCTGCCCGGTCCTCGACCAGGCCTCCACCCCCAGGAAGCAGCCCGTGACAGCTGACTAACTCCCAGGTACCTATTTACTGCTAGGTAACAGGGGCATTCAGGGTGAAAGAAACTTTGCCCATTTGTTTCTGCCTCGTGCGGGAATCGAACCCGCGCCACAGAATTACGAGTCCTGCGCGCTATCCACCAGGCTACGAGGCCACAAACGATGTGGCTTCTACAATTTTTTCTTTCAGTGCATTTCACTTGTTGACCACTCGTAAAGGGTGCGATTATTTCCTAACATTTCTTTGACTTATATTCATTTCCAACTTCCACTTTTGTCCTCTCGTCCTGCTTTCACACAATTTCAAGAGGCTGTGTTTGTCCACCTCGTCTATTCCCCCCTCGGTATCTTGTAAGTTGTGATCATATCCCTTCTGGTTATGAAGAGATATGATCCAAGGCATCCTCATTGCTTAAACGCCCTCTTAGCTCCGGCATTAATCTTGTAGCAAACCTCTTATCCTTTTAGAAGTTTGGTGTTATGGATCACAAGGAATGGGAATCAATGCCAGTGCTTAATATTCCAGTTTTGGTGAAACAAAAGCTTAAGAAGGTTGTCTTAAAAAGAGTCTTGATTCTGGTTTCTGAATGATGTTTTGATTATGGTTTCTAAAGTAGATTTTGATTCTGGTTTATAAACGACGTTTTAATGTTTTCCAGAATACCATTTGCTGCTTATGTCACCCTATTTACGTGTAAATATGGTATTATTATTAGTATTATTGGTATTGGAATTATATCCACTCCCAAATCTTTTTCTCCTGTAGTTACCTTCCTGGATGTTTTGTTGACAGGTCTCTTGCAGCTCCATTTAGTTATAGAGTTGGTGGTTTTGGGCTAGTGGTGGTGTCCAGTATTAGTAATTACTGTGGTGGTGGCTGTAGTAGTTACGTAGATGTTAAGGTGTGATAACTGTATCACAAGGTAAATACCCTTGATTCTACCTAGGCTTTCCTCTCCTGCAAGGAAAGCCAAGCTTGTCCTGACGCAGGTTGGCCATGTAAAACTAATTTTATACGGTACAGTTTCAAGAGTCAAGTGAGGCCAATGCAGGCCTCAAAATCCATCGAGTCTTTGATCCATGAAGACCTGTTTGGTGTCTTCCGAAGCTCTCTATGTCTCGATCTCCTTGCATATTTTTTCGTAGCATTTTTTAGTGGCTTTTATCATCTCCTTTTTTGAGCCACAAAAACAAGAAATCATGATTTTTAGGTGAGGTCGACTTCGCTACCGAAACATTTTGTGTTTCTCACGAGGAAACCAAGCTAAATAAAGTTATATAACTGTCTTTCTTCAATTGAAGTCTTATACAATTTAGGATGGAAATATCAGAAGTTTGGGCCAAAGAAACGTGTTTATTTTCTTGGTATTATTCATTCGTTTCTGAAAAGGGAAAATTTGTATAAATTTTTCCGTTTCCACATCTGCATATTTCTTTGTCTTATTACTTGCTATTTGGTTTTGCTTGCACTGTTTTAGTTCTCAGCTTTGGATTCAAAGAAGAAAAGTGTATGGGTACACAGGAGGAAAGTGTATGGGTACACAGGAGGAAAGTGTATGGGTATACAGGAGGAAAGTGTATGGGTATACAGGAGGAAAGTGTATGGGTACACAGGAGGAAAGTGTATGGGTATACAGGAGGAAAGTGTATGGGTATACAGGAGGAAAGTGTATGGGTATACAGGAGGAAAGTGTATGGGTATACAGGAGGAATGTGTATGGGTACACAGGAGGAATGTGTATGGGTACACAGGAGGAAAGTGTATGGGTATACAGGAGGAAAGTATATGGGTACACAGAAGAAAAATAACTTGAAAATACCAGTTATGAAACCTAGACAGGACGGTATAGAAGCCTGGACAGGAGGGTAGAAGCCTGGATAGGAGGGTAGAAGCCTGGAGAGGACGGTATAGAAGCCTGAACAAGAGGGTGTAGAAGCCTGCAAATCTCTTAAGAGTTGTATTCGCTGAGAACTGACCCTGATCCACAAGACTATTATGCTACGAAATCAAATTATCCTGGCACACGAAACTGTCGTAGCAAAATAAAATGGTCATTACTACGAAACACAATTGGCAATTACAGTGGTAACATTGGATACAAAAAATGCCCGTGGGACTTTTTCCGAACTTTTTTAGAAAACAATACTTTTTTTTTACAATAGACATCGTACGCATTGCGTTCGTTAGGTTTCAATATCATAATTAAACCCGAGGAATTACGCGCGTTGAAAGAAATTATATTCAAATAATATTTTGGTTAGGAAAATGTATCAGATATGATACAAATGTAAATAGTACTGGATTAAATACAAAATACATAATAGTACAAATACAGTAGGAAGAATTCATTCTAAATTTGAAACCATTTTATAGATCAAGAAGCATGGAATATATACAGGATAACAGCATGTTGGCTAAGGGGAAAACATGTCCACATATACAACATGTCCACGTACTCAAAATGTCCACATGTAAAACACAGGTGATAGTGACGGTACAGTGAACTGACTTTGAAGAGTAGAGACAAGTCCCACGTGGTTGTTCCTTTGTCCCAGTGGAACGGAACAACTCCCCCCTCCACCCCCCCCCCCCCCAAGTTGGGAAATTGCAACAGTATACGCAACTTTGGAAATGGATTGTTACGGTAAGTTGCGAAAGTTGACTATATTGCTTGTGATTCTGTATCCTTGGGCCAAAGTGTACCTTTGTACCATGGCCTGAGTACATGGTTTGTACCTGAGCACACACATACACACTAACTAACCCGAGTTAGTGTGTGGAAAAAAATCAATTGATTGATTGACAATTGATAGTTGATAGTTGACACACAACATGATTCTACATGTTTGTGTTCTTCAATTCTGATCTAAAGGTTTCGTCCTGTTTTCCCCATACATATTTCGTTGCAATCTCTGCAAGGTGATATATATAAACGTCTCCCAGATTTCAATCATCTCCTTGAAGTCTAATCTATTACAAGTCTATTCCATTACAAGTCTATGAGACTATTCTTACAAGTCTTTTTTCCCCCCTAATTATATTTGGGTAATTGAAACCAATTTTACGTCTTGTATAAATTACATTACGGGTCAGTTTATTTAACAGTGAGATATATGGTAATTTCAAAACGAGGTGACCTGAACGAGGTGGTTGGTGACCTGACCCCATCTCGATATACAATAGGTTTTAACACGTGGTTACATGACCTGAGCAGCAGTGCCTCTCTGGGCTTGACTAGCGTGTCACTGCCGTCTCTCTCTCTCTCTCTCTCCCTCACTAGCATGTCACTGTCACACTCACTACTAACCAGCGTGTGTATTCTCCCACAGGCGGTGATGGCGTGCTTGTGGGCGTGGGTCACACTGGCCACACTCTTCACCCTCACACTCTTTGTCGCACCAGGTGAGTTACGAGTGAGATTTGCAAAGGTTGGTGAGTAAAACTGTCTACAGCTGGTGGGTCAAACTGTCTACAGCTGGTGGGTCAAACTGTCTACAGCTGGTGGGTCAAACTGTCTACAGCTAGTGGGTTAAACTGTCTACAGCTGGTGGGTCAAACTGTCTACAGCTGGTGGGTCAGACTGTCTACAGCTGGTAAGTCAAACTGTCTACAGTACAGAGCCGACAGTAAGGATACTGTAAAGAGAGCAGTGACAGTATCACCGTTAGAGCCGAACGAGGCTCTACCCTGTCTTCCTCCGTGACAGTTGAAATCAGAACAGTCTGTGAGAAAGTAGACAGCAGGACAGTCTGTGCGGAAATAGACAGCAGGACAGTCAGTAAGACAGTCAAGCAAGACAGGGACTGTAAGGAAAAAAATGCGATTTGATAAACGCTTACAATGGAAGCCCAAAACTTGACAAACTCTTAAATAATAACTCCAGGTCTTACACCCACACACATTATTGACAGTAAAATTACAGCATGAAATACTTACTTGAGGTACATTTCAGAATTTATTACTGAATGGCCTTAATCAATACAGCAAAAGAATCCCCGCGATTTGATTCTCTGTCTCCCTTGAAACCTGTAGGTAACTAATGGGTCCAATCTAAGGGGAAATGAAAGGGGAGTTTATAGAGGACAACCATCCCGGGGATGGATAGGCAAATCATCAGGGTTTTCATGTAATTATCTTCTACTGTAAGCGTTTAGTGGTGAAAGACTTTACTAGGGAAGCTTGTAAGGTAACATTTGACTAGTTAATCTCAGTAAAAAGCTTTGTAACACCTAATTGGGCCAAAGCATTTGTGTGTTCACTTATGAAAGTCGAACATCTTTCCCAATCAACCTATCCTTAGGCTGAACTCTTTCAGGGGGGTCGTCGACCCCTAAGACGCATTCATTAATTTTAAAATGCAATATATTAAAAAAAAATTATTTTCTCAAATACATGAGAATATTAATATTTACTTGAAAGTATTAAATAGTTAGGTTTAGATCACACAATAGCCTGAAGAATCAATCGGAAAACATTTAGTCCAGGGAGGCAAGTTCGATACAAGTGCATAGCCACACTATTTTCCTCGTGAGTGAATTCGTTTGATAAAAATAAATGTAACACTGAAGACCAAAGGAGAGAAACAGAGAAAAGAAAAATGATTGAGTTATGGCGTCTTTGAAGTTTAAGAAGCATTTCTTGAATTTTCAACCCCCCACTGTGAACTTTGAAAGATATGCAATAAAGGTAATTTATCATCCCAAATAGAATTTAGTTCCAGAGAGGATCCAAGCGTTTTAGAGATTCGGGTAAAGAGATCCAGCAGAGGGAGAGACCTGACATGAGTTGCATTTGTTTGACATGTTCGATATGGAGGCTTGGAGGGTGAGCTTTAGTGCCTCGATCTTATTCTCTCTCACATACACACGCTTGTTTCTCTCTCTTTATTTCTCTCACTCGAACTCGGTCCCTCTGCCTCGCTCTTTCTCTTTCGATACACTCCTGCTAGCAGGCTTATAGAGCCTTTTGTTTCCTAGTTCTTGGTAAGCCTTACTCTGCTAGTTTTTTTCCCTGGCACACCGCCGTTCAATAGATTTGCAAGCAGGTTCCCAATTGGTGTTGGATGAGCATGACGAATGGTTAGGGTCTGGTACTCAGTCACGCCTCCCCGAGTTGATGTGGTGTGTGTGTGTGTGTGTGTGTGTGTGTGTGTGTGTGTGTGTGTGTGTGTGTGTGTGTGTGTGTGTGTGTGTGTGTGTGTGTGCGTGTGTGTGTACTTACCTAGTTGCACTCATCTAGTTGTGCTTGCGGGGGGTTGAGCTCTGGCTCTTTGGTCCCGCCTCTCAGCTGTCAATCAACTGATGTACAGGTTCCTGAGCCTATTGGGTTCTATTATATCTACACTTGAAACTGTGTATGGAGTCAGCCTCCACCACCTCACTGCCTAATGCATTCCATTTGTCAACTACTCTGACACTATAAAAGTTCTTTCTAATATCTCTGTGGCTCATTTGGGCACTCAATTTCCACCTGTCTCCCCTAGTGCGTGTGCCCCTTGTGTTAAATAGTTTGTAGTGTGTGTGTATATGTGTATGTGTGTGTGTGTGTGTGTGTGTATTACTAATAGTCCGCTACTGTGAACTCCCTTGGCCACAACAGCCGTCAAACTTCCAGGTACCTATTTACTGGAATCAGAGGCATCAGGTGAAAGGAAACCTTTCCCAAATGCTACCGTTCCGGCCTCAGGACTCAAAACCGCAGTCCTCGAATATGAGTGAATAATACTAGATATTGTGCCACACAGAAAACACTCTCTCTCTCTCTCTCTCTCTCTCTCTCTCTCTCTCTCTCTCTCTCTCTCTCTCTCTCTCTCTCTCTCTCTCTCTCTCTCTCTTTCTCTCGGTTATATTTCCATAGAAAGGGGCGCATTACATAGACATTTACAAATAAATACACATACTTTATAATTGTTCCCTGGATATCTAGAGTGGTAGCTTGTTCAGTATTTCGACTTTTGGTTTCTAGTTCGGTACCTAGTCCTTATGGGTTTCTAGTTCATTAACTAGGCCTGTCGTTTCTTGCTCAGTGTTTTGACTAGTATTTTCCTAGTTCATCACGTTAAATAGTATTGTTTTCAGAACATGACTGAATATTTATTGAAAAACAAATAGTTAATGAATAGTTGGCTGAAATATGGGAAGAATTATACCAATCCGTTCAAGCTGATTTACAAAATCCAGAGTTGAAGCCCCCTAAGGCAGTTCGTTGTTGACTTCAACCTCGTTCTGATAGGTCCTCCGACGGCGTGTGCGTGAAGGCGCTTCCGAGTCATTTCTAGAAAAGGAAGCACAAAATCAGGAATTCTAGGTTAGTTGGTATAGCTTGGGAAGCTAAGTTAGTGCGATAATGTAGTGTCAGCACATCTGTCAGCTGTAGAAATGAATTTATGGATACTGCACCTGCTCAAACACCTGTCAGCTATCGTAATGTATTTATGGTCATTCCGTGTCTGCATATTCCTCGGGTCTGTTTGGAAGCACAATACTGAATGTATCATACATCATCTGTATTATGCATCAGCTGCATTATACATCAACTGCATTATACATCAACTGCATTATACATTAGCCGTACCACACATCAGCCGATGCTGCTGCACCACACATCAGCCGGTGTAGCTGCACCACACATCCAGCTGCATCACACCTGCACTACATATCCGTATTATATACATCTGCATCACACAGTTGCACCATGCAACCACATCACACAGCTGAACCATACAGCTGCGTCACACAGTGTTTTCTGCTGTGGCAACCGATGGCGAAAACTGTTCGCTAATGTTGACCAGACCACACACTAGAAGGTGAAGGGACGACGACGTTTCGGTCCGTCCTGGACCATTCTCAAGTCGATTGTTCGCTAATGCTTGTATAGAGAACAAGTTATAACTCGTACCTTGAACTTTACGTCGTGCGGCAGTTCGCTGGGTAACTATGACATTTGTGTTCCAGCGGAGGTTGTCATTGGTTTTACAGGTGACTTTACAGTGGTGTTCCAGCCGAGGCTTTCACGTATTATGAGAGCGATGTTCACATTTGTAAAGAAGGAAAGTTTGCATTTGCATTTTCCCCTGAGAGCTTGTCCGAACCAGAAGTGGATCATGGAACATTGATGCACTTATCTCTTGGCTCAGACGAACATGAAAAAAAACACAAAATGCGCAAGTTACAGAGAAATTCAATGCGTCCATTACTGCGTGTGAATTAATTCAGAAGTGGTAAGTGCTGTAATGGCCTTTCTCTTACACAGCAGGCTCACAGCTTCACTGTACCTGGAGTGCTTCAGTAATCTTCCTCACGGTAATAAATACTAATGAATACTTACCCCTTATACTCTGATAAAGGGTTGGTGGCTTGAGAAACTTTCGGAGCTGTGGAAGAGTCGTTTGTTTTATGTATTTGTAGTAGAAGGCATCCTGTAGTCTCGGGAGACTATGGAGTTGCGCTCTGGCTGTCGAGACTGGAGTGTCCTCTCCAGGGCGCAAAGCCTCGGTAGGTCGATATGGAGGAGAAGCTGTTGCCCATGCAGCAGGTGCCCCCCTCTCCACGTTGCTGAAATTTTCCAATGGAAACACCAATAGGTTTCATTCCAACGCCGTCACAGGACCTATCAGAACAAGGTTGAAGTCAACAACGAACTGCCTTAGGGGGCTTCAACTCTGGATTTTTCATCGAGGTTAACTCCTGAAGGCCGTCTCATCAGTGAGTAAGGCCGCGAGGCAGCGGAGGTTTGAAGTAGGCATTTCCTTTCCCCTAGAGGAGCTGCCTTCCCTGGCTAACGAGTCCCATCAACCTCGAGCAGCTGGTTGTAAGGCGCCAGAGGCACGAGCTCACGTACGAAGGCCCTCGTACGTGAGGACCTGAAGGGCCGCCCCAGGAACTACTCCTGCAGGAAGTTGGTAGCCTCGCTGAGGGCCCTGCAGAACCTCCCGGAGGAGGATTGGAAGTCCTCCAAAGAGTTCCTTTATGTGAATACAGGCAAATTATTGACAGAAGGACATTTCTATTCATTTTCCCGAAATAAATGAATAATGGCGCGTATTACTATAAGAAAAACAAATTTGAAAAGTTTGTTTTGAAAGTATTTAGTAGAACGGACGATTTTAGGTGGCCAGTGCCATAAAATCGAACGGGCATGTGTGCAGTGGTTGAGAGGCGGGACCAAAGAGCTAGAGCTCAACACCCGCAAGCACAATTAGGTGAGTACATACACACATTCTCCCGTATAGTATAGATATTATTGGCTGTTACCGTCCTAGACACCACAGTAATCATACTCATACTCATATTAAACAGTTTACAAGCATGAAAACTTCCCATTCAACTGTTGTTATTGTTATAAACAGCCTCCTGGTGCTTCGGAGCTCATGATCAATTTAATAATTGGAAACAAAGCCGCCAAAGATAGAGAAAAGATGTACAGGTTCGTAAGTATTTGCGTAAGTGCTTTCGTGAATCTGGCCCTTGGTGTATTATTCATTTGGTAGACGGGTAATGGTTTTGTTACAAAGTTACCAACTTTAACATTACTTTCAACATTCAATAATAATCACAAGAGTTTGTACATTGCAATATTTGTAGAGGTGAGTTCTGATATATTGCACATACAGGCATAGTTCTCATCCTGTAACAACACTTTAGTAATTACACTCGCACAATACTTATGGATTGAAGTCCACTACCCGGCCCACCCTGCGGCGGGTAGTGTGCCCCATACCCATCCTGTGGGCAGTAGTGAGCCCCATACCCATCCTGTGGGCAGTAGTGGGCCCCATACCCATCCTGTGGGCAGTAGTGAGCCCCATACCCATCCTGTGGGCAGTAGTAAGCCCCATACCCATCCTGTGGGCAGTAGTGGGCCCCATACCCATCCTGTGGGCAGTAGTGAGCCCCATACCCATCCTGTGGGCAGTAGTAAGCCCCATACCCATTCTGTGGGCAGTAGTAAGCCCCATACCCATCCTGTGGGCAGTGGTGAACCCCATACCCATTCTGTGGGCAGTGGTGAGCCCCATACCCATCCTGTGGGCAGTAGTAAGCCCCATACCCATTTTGTGGGCAGTAGTAAGCCCCATACCCATCCTGTGGGCAGTAGTGAGCCCCATACCCATCCTGTGGGCAGTAGTACGCCCCATACCCATCCTGTGGGCAGTAGTAAGCCCCATACCCATCCTGTGGGCAGTAGTACGCCCCATACCCATCCTGTGGGCAGTAGTAAGCCCCATACCCATCCTGTGGGCAGTAGTGACCCCATACCCATCCTGTGGGCAGTAGTAAGCCCCATACCCATCCTGTGGGCAGTAGTAAGCCCCATACCCATCCTGTGGGCAGTAGTACGCCCCATACCCCTTAATATAGATCTTATTATAGTCGTGTTGGCCTGGCGCTTTCTCCTCATAGTTCCCCCGTGGCTCAAATGACCACTCACACACACATTTAGTTTGAGGAGCACATGAGACACGCTGGAGGAGGCGGACTGTCGTCGATCCCGTCTGAGTGTGTTGTGATCTTTTTGTCTTTCCAGGCGGGGCGGTGCAGTGCTTCCTGTGCAGCTACTCCCCTCGGAGTAACAGCTCTCGGATCGACGGCTGCACAGACGCCAACTTCACTAGTGAACACATTGAGTCCCGCTCGTGCAGTCTGGGCTGCGAGTCTGTCGACGTCTACGACATCAATGGTAACTGGCCTGAGTTGAGAGAGAGAGAGAGAGAGAGAGAGAGAGAGAGAGAGAGAGAGAGAGAGAGAGAGAGAGAGAGAGAGAGAGACAGACAGACAGACAGACAGACAGACAGACAGACAGTCAGACAGAGAGGCAGTGTTTGATGTACTCTCTCTATCCTTTATCATGCTTGATTCCACTTATATTTTCCTCCACCTAACCTAACCTAACCTACCCTAACCTAACCTAACCTACATTTATCTTCCTTGTATCTTCCCGGTCGGCTCAATATCCACATATTGTGACCACTTGATTGGGTGTTTTGTTTACCCTTAATCCATTTTATGGTGTCTCTATTCAATCATTATAATCTTCACTAATCCTTCTGATTTCCTCCTTGTTCTCTTCTACATTGTTTTTATGCTTCTCTTGTTCTATGTTGTATATTTTTATTCTTTATTCCATTTTCCACTAGTTTATAGCTTTCATAACTGCATTATTTCACTTGAACTAACAGATGTACAATTCTCCTGCGGCCTTGTGTCATCGTGGTTCACTATTTCTCTCACCACAATACAATATTCCCCTACTCTTCCATCTATCATTGTCCCCCTCCTCTCCCTTTATCATTTCTCCCTGCTCTACATGCATCATATTTCCCCTCCTATCCCCCTATAGCATATTTTGGTCCATTTATCTGTGTTGCTATGTTTAATATCTTTGCTATTGCTCTTCTCTTCAGTTACCATATATATATATATATATATATATATATATATATATATATATATATATATATATATATATATATATATATATATATATATATATATATTTATATATATATTTATATATATAATAACAAAAGCAAATACGAAACAATTAAAAAAATTCAAGATTCAAACCTCGAATTGCTTAATATAAAGATGGAATCTTATCAAACAGGAAACTTAAAACTAATTTAGTTCTCTCCAGATTATGCTCGATTTAAATATCCTGTTTTTATCAGTCCATAAAACTGTTCATCTCGCTTGAAACTGCGATATTTATTTTAATGTTAATGTTGAGTTGACATTATATCCTTCTTTGGCAGGTGAGTTGGAGAGCTTCCACCGGAACTGTGCCACTAATGACACCATCATGACCAACACTTGCGAGACCTACAAGACCATCATCTTGACTCGCTTCGTGTGCTCCTGCGACTGGTCGTACTGCAACGCGGCCTCCGACAGCTATCAGGGAGTGCGACCCGTGATGATGGTGGGGCTGGTGTCCCTGGTGGCAAGTCTGCAGGGTTGTCGGAGTCAGCAGACTGTATGAGGGACGGTGGTCACACATTCTACATTATCTTTTAAGTGATTCTCTTACCATCTTCAACGTGTACTGTTTCAACGTGAATAGATGAGGCTTAGCTCTTTGGCCAGTAAAGGAAGATGCTATGAACTTTCTTCAGTGACTTTGCTTGAGAATAAGGACATTTGTGCATCGTACCTTGGAGAAAATTGTCTCTGAAAAGCAAATTTGATTTGCGATGGCTTCGGGTGAGTAGAAGACGAGGCATAGCTGATCCAGTAGACTCCATCACCATCAGTTGACGTTAAAGAGGTATAGCTGACGAGACGATGACTATCACCATCAACTGGTGCCATCATGCAAAACGTAATAATTGCGACGCATCTGCCATTTAGAGCTCTTTGTTAGATTTCTTAATATGGAGCACCAAATTAAATATTTACAAAAGGTTTTCCGTGATGTTTGTGCGATATGAATGAGTATTAAGAACAAAGATACTTAACAAAATTAACCTTGAATAGAGTTTACTAAGCTAGATTGGTGGTCGAATACATTCGGCTCCTGAAACAGGGAGCCCAAATCTTTTCACATTTATTCGACGACACTGCATGACAACTCTCAAGCTAGAGTGATGACAAGAGTACATGCAAATCCGCTTCGAGCAGGTGCTGGTACTTAGGGAAGAGTGGAGTTGATTCATGTGGTGACGTAGCTGGTGGTAGGCATCAGCAGTAGAGCTGTGGTAGGCCTGTCATTACACAAACCATTACCACACCATACGGGCTCACCATAGCCCATGCTACTTGGAACTTTTTTGTTCCGGGTAGCGAATATTTAACAACAACAACATTACCACACGTGTGTTGGGGTCAGTTGAGGTGACATATGACCATACACCAGCATGACTGGACTCAAGACTCCTGTAGCTCTTGGCCACCCGTCAGCTCCAACACATCCCTTGTTTCTAAGATGGTATGATAGGTATCATGTGTGTATGTCAACAGAGAATAGCCGTCCAAAAGTGATGAGATATCTGGAAACGATTGTGGATCGCCACTACTATCTGGATAATGATGGTCTGCAGCTGCTGCCGTATAGCTGCTTCAGGATCGCCGCCTGTTCTAGTCATGAGGATGTTCTAATTATGTTCTACAGTCACCGTACTGTAGTATATAATATCCTCGTTTTCTCTCGCAATTATTTAGTTATCTTACGAAGTGGAGAGGCAGAAGCAGCCCTTGAGTAACGCAGGGGCACTGGCTGAGTGGCATTGTTTATCAGACACGAGTAACCACTTGTTTTTATAAGAGTTACTGATTGCACTAGAGTGAATCCTCCCGTTAGAGTACACCCAGCTTGTGTTCCGCTATCGAGCCTTCATGATGTCTCAGTAGCAATAACCATGTTTGATGTAAATATTTGAGATATCAATGTATTCATCACTGCCACGCCTAAAACAAACTTTATCATTCTAGAGAGTTCTGTCGTGCGAGCTCTCCAGCAGCGGGATTATGACCGGCACCCATTGGGCAGATTTTGCAAGAATATCATTATCAACGTCGAATCCACGTCGAATTTACGTCGAATCTACGTCGATTCTACGTTTCTTTGGCATATTTTGCTCACCGAACAGTGTTCTACCGCAATAGCAACCCGTCCTAAGGTACCAAAGTACCTATGATGACATGTTACTTAGAGAACCAGTGCTGCAGATATCCATAGTTCACCTTTGGTGTACATAGCTATCACCTATGGCTTCTTATTTCAGTATTTTGGATGATTTTAAGGCTTAATTATTAAGATTTTAGTGAAGTAGTCAACCATGAGGATAGCTGTTAATAGCTGAATGCTCTCTTTACTTAAATGGAAATAGTTGAAAAAGTTATTATTATAGTATGGTCCCCATACCCATGATGTGGGTGGTAGTGAACCCCATAACCATCCTGTACGCGGCAGTGGACCTTACCTATCCTGTGGGCGGTAATAGGCCCCATACCCATCTACCTTGTGGTAGTGTACCCTATACCCATCCTATAGGTTGTAGTGGACCTCAAACTCATCCTGTGCGTGGTAGTGAACCTTATACCCATCCTGTTGGTGGAGGTGGAACCCATGCCCATCCTGTGGGCAGTACTGGACCCCATACTCATCCTGTGGGCGGGAGTGTACCCCATACCTCATCCCATAGGTGATAGTTAACCCTATTCCCATCCTGCATGTGTTATTAGACACCATATTCATCTTACAAGTGATAGTGGACCCCATACACATCCGTTTGACTAGTTGTGAACCCTATGTCCATCCTGTAAAGATTAGTGGACCCAATACCCATGCTGTGAATGGTAGTGGATCCCATATCCATCCTGTATACTGTATCCTGTATGTAGTTGACCCCATACCCTTTCTGTGGGTAGTAGTGGACCCCATACCCATTATGTGGGTGAAAGTGGACCCCATAACCATCCTATGGGTGGAGGTAGACCCCCATACCCATCCTGTGTGCGGTAATGGGCCTCATCCCCATCGTTTGGGTGATAGTGGACTCTATACCCATCTTGTGGGTACTCCATACTGATGGAGTATGGAGTACCCATCAGTATGGAGTATGGTTATTTAGCTAAGATTTCTGGTAGCAGATCATTTTGAATGAAATATTTACAGATATCTGAAACGTTCGTACGAACCATTCTCTCTGTTTTTAGAGCATTCACTAGTGTATATAATGTTGTATAAATCCTATTATATAGGATTATATATAAATCCTATTATATAAATAAATCGAGTTAAATCCTATTATAGGATTTTATTATATGTAATAGTTTAGTGCAACTTTTTTTTTATTTCTGAGAAGCTTTAAAAATCATCCAAAATAGTGAAGAAAGAAGCCATAGGTGATAGTTATGTATATCACAGGTGAACTTTGAATATACGCAGCCTTGGTACTCTAAGAAATATGTCTTCATATGTACTTTGGTTCCTGAGAACGGGTTGGCAATAGCTGCTAAACACGTTGGCTAACTGCGAAGCTTAACACAGCAACAGTCAACCAGTAGTAAATTAAATTTAATCTTGAATTTTTACACTTGCTTTACTTTGTCAGCAACAAGGTAATTGCTTTTTATAAACAAAAAGCTTTAGTATTTATAAGAAAAAAAAATTTTTTTGGTCAGTTTGAAATGACGATTGGATAAAGTATTTCTATTGAGGTTTGGCTGGGATTAAGGATCACTATGACAGACCATGGTAATGCCTTTAGGTGACAGGATTGCAGTCATGTCACCTTGCCAAGAAAGTATGTTAGTGATGGCATTAAAACACAGGAGTGTAATCGACTTGAGAATGGTCCAGGACGGACCGAAACGTCGTCGTCCCTTCAATTTCTAGTGTGTGGTCTGGTCAACACAGGAGTGTAAGAATGTGTTATCGTGGCTTGCTGGCGACAAATTACCATTTTTTCAGCATCTACCTCCACAGGGCCTAAGCCTCTGGCTGACTGCCTTATGTTTGGGGTTTCTCCTGTGGCCTGTCGATACACCTGTGTGGCAGTGATCGCCTTCAGCGGCACTCTGGCATCAGCAGTGATCTCGGAACCTGTTGGGCATTTCACTTGTGATAACATGCTTTGTCAACATAATTCTCTAGATGAGAAGAGGGCGTTTTCAACGTTCAGAGTAGATTTCTGTATGTATTAGATTCCTTATTGATACGTAGTCAATATGACTACATATCAACTGTCATCTTGTAAAATCTGTTAAAAAAAAAAAAATATATATATATATATATATATATATATATATATATATATATATATATATATATATATATATATATGTATATATATGTATATATATATATATATATATATATATATATATATATATATATATATATATATATATATATATATATATATATATATATATATATATATATATATATATATATATATATATATATATATATATATATATATATATACGGATTTTATAACACCGTCATGACCCCCTTGGCATTTGTCTTTCATATGGTGAAGTCTATATTATTCAATAGATTTTATACAACAGTTTAGGTTTATAAAAGATATATTGAGAAATAGTAATATACCGAATGATTTGTTAGTAGTAGGTAGTATTTGTCAAAAGTGGGATTACTTTGTATAAAAAAAAATTGACCAGGTGACAACATATGACACTAGAAAATATCGAGGCTATACAATGGGATCGAACCCGCAATCCTTGGGCTCTCTTTCTCGAGACGCAGGTTCGATGCGCATCCTACAACCTCAGTATTTTCTCAGCTAAATCACGTTCTTGTGATTTCACCATGTATATCGCATGCGTTATTTTTAATGTTTGCGTATATCGGTTGGCATATATATATTTTAGGATTGCTAGAAAGCCGCATAAATAAAACACTGATATATTAGTTCAACCACTATGTGATATATGCATAAACATAGCTTTGTCACCACATGTATGTATAATGCATTCACACCTGTTCCATATGATTGATTGCAGATTTTGACTTATCAAAACACACTGTGGTAAGTGCCACACTAATCTGAGATCATCACAATTACTTGCATTCATTTTATTGTTATATACAAATAATTTATCAATAAAATCGGATTTACTTTATTTAAATGTGAATAGTTGTTTTATTGTGACCTTTAAGTGACTATAGATATCTTATAAGAGATTTTTAAATTACGTTTAATCAAGCTTGAAACGAGATTGAAGTTTATAGCAAACATCTAATGTCATGTAATCACCTGCATTGGCAAAGTATTTTGATTTGCAGGCGATGAGTCCCAGTAACGTGACTGAAGAATGTTGACCAGACCACACACTAGAAGGTGAAGGGACGACGACGTTTCGGTCCGTCCTGGACCATTCTCAAGTCGATTGTGAATGTCAAGTGCGATTTTGAAGGCAATCGACGACGTTTCGGTCCGTCCTGGACCATTCTCAAGTCGATTGGGAATGTCAAGTGTGATTGTGAAGACAATCGACTTAAGAATGGTCCAGGACGGACCGAAACGTCGTCGTCTCTTCACCTTCTAGTGTGCGGTCTGGTCAATATTTTGATTTGTCATATTGTGATGCTACTGTCATGACTGATGCCTTTCACTTACACTGCTACCTTGCACAGTTCATTGATTCAGAGTTACATTGTTCCTACCAGTCTGACACATGTTGCCGAAGCTCCAAAAGATGCTGTTAACCATTTAACTTCCTGTTGAATACCAACTTCGTCGACCACTCAAACAAATTACAGTCCCGCTCCTATGCTAGGTAAGTTCACTACGGGCTCACCATAGCCCGTGCTACTTCGAACTTTTTGTTCCAAATAGCTGAATCTTAAACAACAACAACAACAACAACGTCGACTTCTATTACCACTCGCTCTTGGTAAAGCTCGTGTTCCTGGAAGCAGGTTCTAAAGCTCCTTATTGACCTGTTCCCACAAGTGCTAACTACAGGAATCATTAATTAAAACAACTGTTTTTTTTATAAAGAATGAAACACCAGTTTACTCTGTGGGAGACACACATGAAAAAAAGTACAGACAAGATACATTTAATAATTTCAAATGATTATGGGCTTATGACCACTCTTACACACACACGTTGATATATATACAACTTGATAATACATCACATGAATACCAGACTCATTGCAAACAACATCGCCGCAAGTAAACAAACACTACTACTGAACTTCAAGTTGTCATATCCACTCAGTGTGGCATTTGCGCGCTCCCTGGACACACGGAAGCCAACCCTCCCGCGTAGTTACGACACAAAAGCCATACTTTCTCTGTAATAAACACTACCAAACACTTTCTGAAATGGGCATTAAATACATTAAACATCACTAGAAACGATATATTCGTATAATTATACTTCTTACTCTGAAAATAGTATACACCAAGTAATACGCTCAGTTGGTACAACTGACTCGTGTAGATGGCGTGTAGGAAGGAGATGGGAACCACCTAACATCCAAGACTCGTCTTAAGAGTTATACTCCAGACACTCGAGGAGTACCTTGGGAAGACGGAGATAGGAGGAGCGAGGAAGGTGACGGGAAATATTGTTTTCAAGACGAGAGGAGCGCCGAGGATCCATCCGGCGTCACATGGTGATCGTCGAGGACGCCACTTGTGCAGAATAATATTCTGAACAATGTCATCCTGGACGTTAATAGTTATTATAAAGCATAAATGTTCACATTTCATTAAGTTAAAATCCTTTAATTTGTCATTAACGAGCAATATCTTAAGTCAATTGAAAGCAAATATTTAACATCATCCAGTGTTGTATCAGGAACTTTGGGCTGTTGGGTTTGTTAGTGTGTTATTGTATATTGTATACTGTAGTTGTGGAGCGGCCATTAACAGTTCTTGACTGACCGACGATTACGACACTGCCGATTCTATTAAAAATGCTGCTCTGTTGTACCTGTTGTTCTGTTGCAACATTTACAATAGATTGTAAAATTTGGTCTTTTAATTAGATTTCGAAATTAACATCTTCAAACATTCAAGCTGGCGATCATTATTGGTTCATTAGACTCGTTCGTATTTGGGGAAGTGAAGGAGTGGCTGTTGGCCATTGATAATTGACACTTCAGACTCGCAAAATGTTAACCAATGGGGGTGAGTTTTAGGGTGAATGTCAACCAATCAGCGGCCGGGTTTGGCTGGCTGCTGGATATAAAAGTGACGCTGAGCCAAACTGCACTTCAGTGTGTTTTACCTCACTTTTGGTATACAGTTCCAGCTTCGTCTCCTGGGGTTGACCTGTATGTGGGGGATACCCCCTTGCCCTTCCCCTCCCTCCCTTTGCTGCCTCTCCCCACCCCCTGCCCTTTGCTGCGTCCCTTCCCCTGCCTCTTGTTCCCCGTCCCCTTCTTGGTTCCACGTACTGGAAGTAGTAAAGTGTATGGGGGAAAGTATCACTATTTCAGTTACCTTGACAAATCAAAAGTTGGGTTTAGTGCGCATAATGTTGCGTGTGGCACTACAGCAGACCCAAACTGGCCTGTGGCGCTCCTTTACCCCACTTGTATCATGCGAGAGGCTAGCCCTTAACGTCTGGCCTGCGATCTTAACAATTCGGATAAATAGAAAGTTTCTGTATGTATATAATGAGGTTAGGTTTTTAAAACATTAAAACTACAACAGCAAACATTAAATTTCGAACATCTTAATATTGCTCAAATTCAGCAGGCTAGAAACGTAATGTGTAAAGTGATTTTTATTTATGAATCGGAATACGTTAATAGTTTAAGATGTCCATCCATGGTGTTGGGCTTAAGTTTCCCGTTAACGCTAATTATGTAAATGTCTTGCACTAATCGTAAAATTTCCTTTTTAGAGTAGCATTTCAGTTGATTTGAATAAATGATTTGTGAATATAGTTCTAATAACGATTAAACGAAATAAATCGTGCTGATCATTGATCTTAAAAGATGGTTAACCTAAACTACCGGTTTGTAGTTAAATTGTCAGTGCCCCGGGGGTCTATACAAGGCAGTCTGAAGCCTGACAAATACAACATAAGTAAAATTCAGATGTTAGTCTCCGGACACTTCTCCAGTGTTGCTCTAGCAGTTCAGAACATTGGTAATGTTCAGTATAGCCATGCACGTTGACTGTTTGTTCTAGTTACTAGGTCAATGCTAATTTATTCTGTTTTAAAAAAACGTACAGTTGATAAACCATTGCTAAAGTTTAAAAAAATAAACCAAATCAGCCCCTTCCCCCCCCCCCCCCCCCAACAAAATTTCAGCCTAATTTAGAATGTCTACAAACAGCTAGGTTATCTACAACCCTAACCTAGAGGCTTAATAAAGTTTTGAAGTATCTTGGATAAGAGTAACTAAGATACCTAATTTAACTTAACCTAACACTAAACAAATCCGGTTTAGCTTACTTTCCCGTGTAGATATTAGATGTAAGATGGTTGTTCTTAAATAATTTTAACCTTGACTTGTCTGATTAACCATATTCTTGCCTTTTGACAACCCTACTGCAATCTTAAATCTCTTTTTTTTTTTTTTTTTTGAGATATATACAAGAGTTGTTACATTCTTGTACAGCCACTAGTACGCGTAGCGTTTCGGGCAAGTCCTTAATCCTATGGTCCCTGGAATACGATCCCCTGCCGCGAAGAATCGTTTTTTTTTTTATTCTCGTATTTATATACGTATTCTCGTATTTATTTCATTTATATTCTCGTATTCCAGAATACGTCCACTTGCACTACTTGTCGTTTCAGGTCTATTAAACGAGGGCTGATGGGGACTAAAATTTCTCATGGTGCGTGAATACTAATGCCTACAGCTGGAATAAAGCAAAATCTTACTACTAGTCTTGGCAGAGGCTTCCAGCTAGGTAGTGTCATGGATAAGAAATACTTCGGCATTAACGCCAGAAGTGAGTTTGGTTAATGGTGTTTTAACATGATTAAGGCACATGCATTTCGGATTATAAATTTTAAAATATGGTCAGCCTGTTGGACTATTTACTAAATGGCAAAGAAATATTTTCTGACATGTTTTGTTAGGTGGGATCCCGTTCATGTGCTTCGTTCGTTCCCGCTTGTCCACAACGACCTGAAGGTGTTGAAAAGACCACACACTAGAAGTAGAAGGGACGACGACGTTTCGGTCCGTCCTGGACCATTCTCAAGTCGTGACCACCTGGAGGTGGTCAGCCGGGTACACATTCTCCTGCACAAACTGGTCTCTCACTGGAGGGTCAGTATGGCTTGTTTTACTTTATTACAGTCATATAACTCAAATTATCATAACATACGGGGGCGTTTGGTAGATTTTAAAGTGTAGGTTACTCATAAGGGCTTCAATGGCTGTAGAGGTCTGCAACAGATGAAATTAACTTCACAAGATTGAAGTCTTTAATGTTAAGTAATAAAATAGTTGATAATTCTTCCCCTCCCGTCCCCAGGCTCGGGCGACCACAGCCAGACAACGGGGAAGGCAACGAGGACTCTCTGGTACTGAACATCTCTAAGAACGTCGTGAAATGACACATTGCCTGTCACCACGTCAAGGCCGTTGTCAAAGACCAGCTTTTGATATATTTTTGACCCAGAAAATGTCTTGACTTCCCCGAATGTTGACGCTGTAAAATATTAAAATTTAAACTAGCTCATAATCATCTTAAATAACCTTAACCAGAGGGTTTCTTAGTGCATAGTGGTCTACACAGCTTGCCACTAACAACCTGAAGTAATGGCTTGTGACCCCAAGGTCACGACTTGGGGAAAACCCAGAGGGGGGGGGGGGAATGTGAATCACATTGTGTACATCAGTAGTACTCGCCCTTCCCCCCCCCCCCCCCCACCCCACTTTAGACCAATGTAGGTGGATTATTTGTAAAACCTGGTTGTGGCACTATTTTGGGTCTCTCCCAGTGACCTCGCTAGGCATCTTAAGATAAATGCCTTCAGTACAAAGGTTTTGTTTGCGTGGTTTTTGTTTTTGAACGCTGCCTCGACTTTCCAGTGTTCTAAAATTGTACAGGTTTTTATATTTAAACCCATTCCAATTTGGCAACTTAACAACGCAATTGAATCGCTTCCTTAGTTGCCTATACTTCACTATCCACAGAATTGCTTTCTATATAATGACCCTGTATGACTGAGCAATAAATCTGTGAACTATTACTTCTACACGATGCATATTCATAGATGGAACAGTTTATTTAATTTCTAGTTTTTAACGCTCCCCTCCCATTATCTTGAAGTTGTGTATGGAAACTTTAAAATAAGTTTCCATAGAATTTAACAGGCATGAACTTTTGTTAGGTAATTAAAATTTGGAACAAAAAGATAACTGGTGACGGCATTTAGTATTGCATTACTAAAGGCAAAAGTATATTCAGTGACCTTGTTCCATCTTCAGGTTTTAATGTGAAGTGATATTTTTTACATGGGTGAAGGTGATTTTCTACTTACAAAGCAAGAATGGTAAGTCAATGGAAACCACTACCACCCACACGATGGACAAGTCCAATGTTACCCACAGGACGTGTGTGCGGACCACTGCCACCCTCAGTGGACCCACACACCCATCCTCCTGAGGGTGGTAGTGGACCCCTACACCCATCCTCCTGTGGGTGGTAGTTGACCCCCACACCCATCCTCCTGAGGGTGGTAGTGGACCCCTACACCCATCCTCCTGTGGGTGGTAGTGGACCCCTACACCCATCCTCCTGTGGGTGGTAGTTGACCCCCACACCCATCCTCCTGAGGGTGGTAGTTGGGGCCCCACACCCATCCACCTGAGGGTGGTAGTTGGGGCCCCACACCCATCCTCCTGAGGGTGGTAGTTGACCCCCACACCCATCTTCCTGAGGGTGGTAGTGGACCCCCACACGCATCCTCCTGAGGGTGGTAGTTGGGGCCCCAACACCCATCCTCCTGAGGGTGGTAGTTGGGACCCCACACCCATCCTGTGGGAGGTAGTGGGCCACCACACCCAGCCTGAGGGTGGCAGTGGGCCCCCACACCCATCCTGAGGGTGGTAGTGGGCCCCTACACCCATCCTGAGGGTGGCGGTGGGCCCCCACACCCATCCTGAGGGTGGTAGTTGGCCCCCACGCCCATCCAGATGGGTGGTAGTGGCCCCCCACGCCCGTCCTGAGGGTGGTAGTGGCCCCCCACGCCCATCCTGAGGGTGGTAGTGGCCCCCACGCCCATCCTGAGGGTGGTAGTGGCCCCCCACGCCTATCCTGAGGGTGGTAGTGGCCCCCCACGCCCATCCTGAGGGTGGTAGTGGCCCTCCACGCCCATCCTGAGGATGGTAGTGGCCCCTCACGCCCATCTTGAGGGTGGTAGTGGCCCCCCACGCCCATCCTGAGGGTGGTAGTGGCCCCCCACGCCCATCCTGAGGGTGGTAGTGGCCCCCCACGCCCATCCTGAGGGTATTAGTGGCCCCCCACGCCCATCCTGAGGGTGGTAGTGGCCCCCCACGCCCATCCTGAGGGTGGTAGTGGCCCCCCACGCCCATCCTGAGGGTGGTAGTGGCCCCCCACGCCCATCCTGAGGGTGGTAGTGGCCCCCCACGCCCATCCTGAGGGTGGTAGTGGCCCCCCACGCCCATCCTGAGGGTGGTAGTGGCCCCCCACGCCCATCCTGAGGGTGGTAGTGGCCCCCCACGCCCATCCTGAGGGTGGTAGTGGCCCCCCACGCCCATCCTGAGGGTGGTAGTGGCCCCCCACGCCCATCCTGAGGGTGGTAGTGGCCCCCCACGCCCATCCTGAGGGTGGTAGTGGCCCCCCACGCCCATCCTGAGGGTGGTAGTGGCCCCCCACGCCCATCCTGAGGGTGGTAGTGGCCCCCCACGCCCATCCTGAGGGTGGTAGTGGCCCCCCACGCCCATCCTGAGGGTGGTAGTGGCCCCCCACGCCCATCCTGAGGGGGGTAGTGGCCCCCCACGCCCATCCTGAGGGTGGTAGTGGCCCCCCACGACCATCCTGAGGGGGGTAGTGGCCCCCCACGCCCATCCTGAGGGGGGTAGTGGCCCCCCACGCCAATCCTGAGGGTGGTAGTGGCCCCCCACGCCCATCCTGAGGGGGATAGGGGCCCCCCACGCCCATCCTGAGGGTGGTAGTGGCCCCCCACGCCCATCCTGAGGGTGGTAGTGGCCCCCCACGCCCATCCTGAGGGTGGTAGTGGCCCCCCACGCCCATCCTGATGGAGGTAGTGGCCCCCCACGCCCATCCTGAGGGTGGTAGTGGCCCCCCACGCCCATCCTGAGGGTGGTAGTGGCCCCCCCACGCCCATCCTGAGGGTGGTAGTGGCCCCCCACGCCCATGCTGAGGGTGGTAGTGGCCCCCCACGCCCATCCTGAGGGTGGTAGTGGCCCCCCACGCCCATCCTGAGGGGGGTAGTGGCCCCCCACGCCCATCCTGAAGGTGGTAGTGGCCCCCCACGCCCATCCTGAGGGTGGTAGTGGCCCCCCACGCCCATCCTGAGGGTGGTAGTGGCCCCCACACCCATCCTGAGGGTGGTACTGGGCCCCTACACCCATTCTGAGGGTGGTAGTGGCCCCCACACCCATCCTGAGGGTGGTACTGGGCCCCCACACCCATCCTGAGGGTGGTACTGGGCCCCCACACCCATCCTGAGGGTGGTAGTGGACCTCCAAACCCATCCTGAGGGTGGTACTGGGCCCCACACCCATCCTGAGGGTGGTACTGGGCCCCTACACCCATCCTGAGGGTGGTACTGGGCCCCCACACCCATCCTGAGGGTGGTACTGGGCCCCCACACCCATCCTGAGGGTGGTAGTGGACCTCCAAACCCATCCTGAGGGTGGTACTGGGCCCCACACCCATCCTGAGGGAGGTACTGGGCCCCTACACCCATTCTGAGGGTGGTAGTGGCTCCCCACGCCCATCCTGAGGGTGGTAGTGGCCCCCCACGCCCATCCTGAGGGTGGTAGTGGCCCCCCACGCCCATCCTGAGGGTGGTACTGGCCCTCCACGCCCATCCTGAGGGTGGTAGTGGCCCCCACGTCCATCCTGAGGGTGGTAGTGGCCCCCCACGCCCATCCTGAGGGTGGTACTGGGCCCCCACGCCCATCCTAAGGGTGGTAGTTGCCCCCACAACCATCCTGAGGGTGGTACTGGGCCCCTACACCCATTCTGAGGGTGGTAGTGGCCCCCCCACGCCCATCCTGAGGGTGGTAGTGGCCCCCCCCCCCGCCCATCCTGAGGGTGGTAGTGGCCCCCCACGCCAATCCTGAGGGTGGTAGTGGCCCCCCACGCCCATCCTGAGGGTGGTAGTGGCCCCCCAAGCCCATCCTGAGGGTGGTAGTGGCCCCCCACGCCCATCCTGAGGGTGGTAGTGGCCCCCCACGCCCATCCTGAGGGTAGTAGTGGCCCCCCACGCCCATCCTGAGGGTGGTAGTGGCCCCCCACACCCATCCTGAGGGTGGTAGTGGCCCTCCACGCCCATCCTGAGGGTGGTAGTGGCCCCCCACGCCCATCCTGAGGGTGGTAGTGGCCCCCCACGCCCATCCTGAGGGTGGTAATGGCCCCCCACGCCCATCCTGAGGGAGGTTGTGGATCCCCACGCCCATACTGAAGGTGGTAGTGGCCCCCCACGCCCTTCCTGAGAGTGGTAGTGGCCCCCCACGCCGTCCTGAGGGTAATAGTGGCCCCCTACGCCCATCCTGAGGGTAGTAGTGGCACCCCACGCCCATCCTGAGGGTGGTAATGGCCCCCCACGCCCATCCTGAGGGTGGTAGTGGCCCCCCACGCCCATCCTGATTGTGGTAGTGGCCCCCCACGCCCATCCTGAGGGTGGTAGTGGCCCCCCACGCCCATCCTGAGGGTGGTAGTGGCCCCCACGCCCATCCTGAGGGTGGTAGTGGCCCCCACGCCCATCCTGAGGGTGGTAGTGGCCCCCCACGCCCATCCTGAGGGTGGTAGTGGCCCCCCACGCCCATCCTGATGGTGGTAGTGGCCCCCCAAGCCCATCCTGAGGGTGGTAGTGGCCCCCCACGCCCATCCTGAGGGTGGTAGTGGCCCCCCACGCCCATCCTGAGGGTGGTAGTGGCCCCCCACGCCCATCCTGAGGGTGGTAGTAGCCCCCCACGCCCATCCTGAGGGTGGTACTGGGCCCCCACGCCCATCCTGAGGGTGGTAGTGGCCCCCACACCCATCCTGAGGGTAGTACTTGGCCCCTACACCCATTCTGAGGGTGGTAATGCCCCTACACCCATCCTGAGGGTGGTACTGGGCCCCCACACCCATCCTGAGGGTGGTAGTGGACCTCCAAACCCATCCTGAGGGTGGTACTGGGCCCCTACACCCATTCTGAGGGTGGTAGTGGCCCCCCACGCCCATCCTGAGGGTGGTAGTGGCCCCCCACGCCCATCCTGAGGGTGGTAGTGGCCCCCCACGCCCATCCTGAGGGTGGTAGTGGCCCTCCACACCCATCCTGAGGGTGGTAGTGGCCCCCCACGCCCATCCTGAGGGTGGTAGTGGCCCCCCACGCCCATCCTGAGGGTGGTACTGGGCCCCCACGCCCATCCTGAGGGTGGTAGTTGCCCCCACACCCATCCTGTGGGTGTTACTGGGCCCCTACACCCATTCTGAGGGTGGTAGTGGCCCCCCATGCCCATCCTGAGGGTGGTAGTGGC